ATATAAATATGTATGGTAATATAATTTAATTAATTTATTTTTGTTTATATTTAATTATAACAAATTTATTTTACTTAATAGATATATGATATCTGGCCATTACTAGATGGGATCGATATGTTGTAAATCGGGTCAAGCACAGGAAAAAATATTCTTAAAAGGCGAAAAAAACCAATCCGGAATCGATAAAACAGAAAATCCGCAACAAGGACGGGGGGAAGAATTTGACCCCTCAGGGGACGATTACCTACAAATTGCGTAAGAAAAAGGTGTTATACCCCACTCACTAACCAACAGACGATATCATCATCCAGAATGCAATTATATAAGCCAATAGCCCCTCAAGGATCCAAGAGGAGATTAATTACGGCAATATATATCCCCCGAGGCCTAATGCTCAATCAAAGCTCGCCGGCGGCGGATAGCCCGTCTAATAAGGCGAAATAAAATAACAGACTACCTCTTTATATAATAATATTAATATATTATTTCGAATATATTAATAAATTTATATATATATATTAATATTAAGGATATATTGATAATAATTATCATATATAATATATATATATGGTTTAATGGATTATATGTTTTATAATATATTATTTTATATTAATTATATATATAATTTTAAAATATATATATATATTATATTTTTATAAGATATATTATTTTATATATAAATTTATTAATTATTAAAAATATATATATATAATAATTCTAATATATAAAAAATATAAATTAATATTTAATTTATATATTTTCTTTAAAAATTATTATTATTATTTTTTTTAAAATATATATTTATAATATTCCACAATATTTCAAATTTATATAATTTTTTATTTAATACTATATTTTAATATTTAATACATTAATAAAATAAAATAAATAAATTTAAATATTAATATATAAAATAATAAATAATAAATAATATTTTTTTTAAAAAAAATATAAATAATATAAAATAATAATATTGATAATAAATAATTAAATATTAAAAAATAAACTTATATTTATTAATTTTTAATATAATTTAATAAATAATAAACTATATAAAATATATATAAATATATAAATATATATATATATAAATAAATATATATATATAAATATATATAAATATATATAAATATATATAAATATATATAAATATATATAAATATATAAATATATAAATATATAAATATATAAATATATAAATATATAAATATATATAAATATATAAATATATATAAATATATATAAATATATATAAATATATATAAATACCTTCATATCTTTTAACCTTCTTTTTTCAGGGTTGCTCAAAATAAGTAGGGTTATTTTAAAAAAAATAGGGTTTTATCATTTCCCCCATAATGATCATTTATCATGAAGGTGATCAACAATCCACATCCCAGTGCAGCTGCCTGAGACCAGCAGCAACGGAAAAATAAAATGTAGATGAAAGATCTTGCAAGATTTTCAGAAACTGTTGATCCGATCAAGGAAAAAGATTCGGTTCACCAATTCAACGCCACAATGCAATGCCTTTTCTAAGACAAGCCCAGCTTTTGTGAATGCCGTATAGGCTGACACTAAGTATCTTTCTAAAGTTCTCGAGGCCACCCGTCGAATATTTACTCGACGGCTGAGCCTCGAGGCTCTGCCCACTGTGTCTTCGTTCATTTGGCATCCCCACATTGTGGGGTTGATTGCGCTTTGATTGCGCTCCCCTGACTGTTTCACAGCCAAAACCAAATGGTGCCATATATGAAGCTTTGGGTACAACGGAAACAGATATTGCCGATTGGCTCTGTACATTTTCAACACAAGTTCTGGGTAGACTTCTAAAAAGCGTAGACCTTGTTCAGCAACATGCGCGCATTCAGATTCCCCCAGAAACGCGCCTGCTTTGTACAGCATACTGAACAAAGAGTTGACTCGAAACGTAGCCTCTCGACATTTCACCAGCAACCCATCCGGATCACGACCTTCTGTGCCCAGTAGATCCACGATCCATTGACAAAAATTTGTCGTTAGGGCTCCTTTATGCCAATTGCCCATTGCACCACCTGCATCACCATAAGATACCAGGTAGGCACTGACTTTGCTGATGTGAGATTGTTTGCTGTTGGCACGACACCATCTCATGTAGTGATCAGTTAAATAGTCCCATTTTTGTTCCAGATTCGAACAAGGCAGAAATGGTAGGAGCAGCTGGATAATACTGCAAACCCAGGAGCGCCCAAAACCCAAATGGAAAACGTACCAAATGTCCGACTTGAAGAATGAAGCGGGATCAGCTCGATCGTGCATCAAGTACTTGATGATGGATGGCTCCCGGGTCCATGGAAGCTTCACAGCAACTGTACTCAACCGGTGTTGATGTACCTATCTCCTCAGCAGCACACAAAGTAGTACCTGCAAGGCAATATGGGCAACAACCTTTAGGTGCACCTCTTTCTTCACCCCGTTTAGCAACAGTGTTGTAGGATCTGTAGAAATGAGCCACCTTCGACAGGTATGGAGCATCGCCTTTCACCCCCAAAATCACGATCCGAAACAGCTCGCCATTCCTGGCTTTGTCCACGTATCCACTCTGAAGCAACCTGCTGCATGACTTGGCCACATGCTCGATAGCAGCATGGAAAACTTCTGGCTGGGACTCGTAAGCAATCTTCGGGATGGTGCTGACAACAAACCTTGTCGTAAAGCTATGCCCAGCAAAATTCACCTGAAGTTGACGGTCATTTGGGCCCCTGACTCTAATACGCTTCTGATCATAGCCACGTCCAAGAGCAGATTGCAAAGAAGTGACAAGCATTCCTCCCTTTTTCAAAGTGCGACCTTCGTCATCATGAATGAAATAGGCAGCAGTCCTTGAAAGGTCTATTCCTTCCATTTGGAAAAGCTCGAAACCAGGGTTGATCTTTTCATATTTCTCCCAGAATGTCGTCCAATTCTCACGCGAACCAGCATAGTCAAAAGACTCACAGCCAGCCAGGCGTGGCCACAGGCCTTTGTCTATCAAGTACTTTAGCCACGACTCAGCAGATATCCAAGGAACCTGGTGGCCATCACATTGTATGGTACCCATAGGTATGTCCAATTTTGTTTTCTGTTTCTTCATGATCCGGTGGGCATCCCGTTCTGGGTGTGTTACATCAGCTTTGGCCCATTGTGAAATTCCTCGTTTAGTAGATTCTTCCTTTCCAAAATCAGCGGCCACGGCCTGTGCAGTCAAGATCTGGCTGATGCTGCTGGCCTTGGCAACCATGGATATCAAAAGGTGCAAAACTGAGGGCATGCGCAAAACTGAGCACATGAAAAATTGCAAGCTGACAAAAAAACTTGAAGGATGAGCAGTCCAAAAAGTCTTACCCCACTGTTGGTTCTCACAATGTTGCGGAAAAAAACACTTTCCACATCAGATTCCAGAATAGGCATCATTTTCACCGACTGCTTCGTACTGCAAACAGCCACAAAGCTAGTGATCGTGACTTTTCGCCACGCGGATGCACATGCATACAAAGAATTGTAAACAATAAGCCACCAGCCTTTCAGGTGCTAGGTTTATAAGCTGTGCTCCTCACTTGTATGCTAGACATGCTAGGACGTTTCCAGGACTTGTACACAACATACGTTAGGTATGGCCCGCTATCTAAATCGTGCAGCGTGTCACCACCGCTTCGTTCATTCTTGCATCCTTGATAGCCTCATTGGGACACAGTCAAGAATATACTAAAGTGCATACTCATGAAAAGACACCAATTCAATCACAATGGCAACGAAAAAACCAAGCCTATGCACACAAAAGTATCAATGCTCAAGCTGGGAAGCACAGGGTAGGATAATTGCAACCAAGGAGCTCTTGAACTGATTTATCAGCGCTGCTTCAAGAAAAGCAGCCCCATGTGAGTTCGAGGTCGCGTAAAGAACCAACATATAGTCAAATGGATCCTTTGAAGTGACATATCCAAAACGACGGTTGTGAAAGCGAACAGAAGCATCGTGTGTCAGGCCGAACTTGAATGTTATGGGTTTGTTGGCGGAATACAGCCGTTGAAACGTGTTGATTGAATGTTCCAACACTCTCCCTGCCGTTGCTGCTGGTCTCGGAGGCTATAACCATAGGACAGGGTTTTTTTCAATTTTCCGAAAAACATCCATTGACCGTGGCAGATTTCTCAAATCATCATATTGCATGTAGTGGTCCTCAAAAACCGAATGAAGTTTCAACACACTGGTTTGTGGTTCTTTCTCAGAGTTATCACCTTCTAGTGGTAAATTCTGGAATTTTACAGGGTTTGGGTCCACTGAAATCGAGGCAGTGGACCTCACCGTTTTCGCACGTTTGTATTCCCAAGCATAGGATCCCAAATCTGCCTCAAATAATGTCAGGGGAAGATAATACCCAAAGTGAAGAAACCATTTCAAACACTGTGTTTTTTCAAACGCTGACCAGTGCCAATAGGGGAGCACACATGGTTGTTTGCGACAAGATGCCGACCGATGGCAGCTCAAGAATTCAATAAGCTTATCATCAGAAGCGCCCATGGCATGGTGGGCCAAGTTTCCATCTTTGGTTTGGCTGTAATTTTTAATGACCAAAAAATTGTGAGCATTTGGGAAGTGACCCTTAGGTTTGAAGTATTTTGGTTTTGATATCTAAGCCCCAAAGTTTTGCAAGTGCGTTCTTGCAAGATCCATGCAACACTGCAACACAATTGGATGATAATCAGAGCATATCAGAGCCAACAACTTGTCCTGACGACACAAAGGTTGTTGATGGGTGGTTTTGTCCATAACTGCAACACATGAATTGAAAAGGCAACAGTCGAACATAATTGGCTGTAGCTTAACTTGACCAATTCCTCCTGGGATCCTGGCTCCTTCGCCGATGTTTGCTGCCAATCGTTTGGCTGATGCACCAGCCACACCTGGCAGTTGCAGTTGAGGACGGTTTACGGTCACATTAGGAAATGAGAAAACATGTTGGTAGAAGGGGTCATTGAATTTGAAGAAGAATTTTTAACCTTCAAATAACAATCCACTTAGGAGTTTTCTTGAGGTAATACTAAACAGCCATTGTTGCCAGCTGACTTTTTCTCCCCATCGCTGAGTTTCGAATCTTGAAATGGCAGAGCCATCAACACCCTAAGTCATCATTGGTGCTTCAGAAGAAACAGGGTTGGATCCCATGTCGAACCAACATTTTTATTTATCAACTATATCGGAAACAAACCAAAAATTTTGATATATCAGGAGGTGTTGAGTTATTTGCTCACATGTTTGTCATCCCGTCGACATTCCAACAGCTTTCAGAGCGTCCAAATCATATTTTCTCATGATTTCTGGATTGTACCTAGGTAATACAATCCTTTTGACACAGGAAATTGTAAAGATCTTCATTTGGATCTGAAAAACGGTTTCCTGAGCAGCATGGATAGCCCAAGCTCATCATTTTTCCTTCGCAGGAATGTCCTTTTCCACCTTCTTGAAGTGCATTTTTGCGGTCCTGGGCAGATGAATAAGTATTGGATCCCCAACCATCTTTAGTTCGTCTCATCTAACTGACTGGCAGACTGAAAGGAGTTTGGGCGAAAGAAAGTGCTGGCCGGAGTATTGCAGAGCTTGAGGTCGTCACCGAATCTTGGCTTCAGTTTGCGATATTTTGGTGCACCTAGGCTAAGAGAAAAGTGGAATGCTGATCAAAATAAAATCATGTTCCAAAAAAGTTGCATGGTTGACCATTGCAATCCCAGGAGTAAATTCCAATGAGCCACTCAAAGGTGGAAAATTTCATGGCCTTCTCAGCTTCGCGTTCCCACCTTGCAGGCATGTTTTGGCACATGAGGAAGGCAATAGTTGATGCACTAAATATCACTAAATGATTTCATGTGATTGGATTTCCAATCTTCAAATTATCTTAGTGCTACTTAGCTACTCAGGATTGTGATCATCCCTTTCACCCTTCGCAGCAAGATCTCCCAGCATGTTGTACTGCGTGTCCAAGGTTTGGAGGTCGGAGTTCAGCTGGTGGACGGCCCTGCAGTGAACACTTCAGATTCAGCTTCAGAGGCTGCGAAAGGGCACATGATGGCTTAAAGAAAAACACTGTTGCATGGTAGCTCCATTGATTTAAACCTAGAAACTTTTTGGCTGTAGGGCAATCTGTGAAGTTTTTTTGCAAGTCTGCCATCAACCCTCGCACTTTGGCGCATTTGGCCAACACAGATTCCACATGCTTGCCGAACACATCCTTGGCCCTGGTTGCCTGCCACGAAAGATGTCATCACATAAACATGCAAGTATATAGGCATGCAAATAATTATGCAGAGAGATATAGAGATATATAAAGGAATCGATAAAGATAATCTCAAGGCCTAATGTGCAGAGTAGCGCATGCATTTGAAGAAGACAGTCGGTTCAGAAAATATCACAAATTAGTGACATGTCAACCCTGCAAAATCAATTTCACTGCCTGTGTTGCTGCGGCAGCTGCAGCCGATGTCATTGCCGTTGCACGACTTGCATCAGCATCCTCCCGGGTGAGCTTAACGCTTCCCAACATTGCTGGTCCCCCATCCTGCCAGGTCACTGGGAAGAGGATTTGATGTGAATTGGATTCATTTGAACGATGAAACTCGGCACAAAGCTTTTGACTGCATGGGAAGTCCTGCGTTCGCTCGACCTCGTGCTGAGCATTGATCTCCTCTTGCTTGCTGTTACCATGTTCACGGGTGTTGACGAAATATTCATCATCGCCACCATATTGGCACTTCCTGCAAAAACACTTTTGAGTCATAGAGCGATCACCTTAAGAATTGGTACAACGATTGTGTGTGAATATATGGGAGTAAATTGGATCTTTTTGAACAATGGGCTTTTATCATTTTCACCCATGAAGTGGCGACTATATATATATTTGATCGAAGTAACCTGTGAAAATTGTTCAGCTGATGGACCACAATTCATCCACATCCCTTACCAATGAAATTGCAGTTCCAGAATGTTTGATTTAATGCATGATGGTCCTCACCAAGTGGAGTGCATCCGCCTCGCAAACTTTGATGGCGCCGTCGATCTTCTTCCTTAGCACATTGGCCAGGAACAATAAAAAACAAAATAATACTAACAGATCATTACGAAGTCGTATTTTGGATTCCAACATCTACCACATAAAATTGAAGGAATACATGTGTAGGACACTGGGTTTTCACTTGTATGCATGAAAGGGTCTTGTTCCACTTCAGAACCTTAGACATATCCTCCCGGGAGTACCAGCCGTTTCCCACGTTGCTCGACTTGGAGTCCGTCTTAGTTCTGGTCGTTTCCTTGTATTTGATGAAGTGATCCTGTCAGGAAAGATATGCGGGGTGCAATGCATCTTTACTTTGGCAAAGTCTGGAAGTTGGAATGTGAATGGCCAAATCTATGGAGATTGACACTTGGAAAGCATTGATACAAAAGAAGGTTTGGGTGATGGTCTCCTTCGAGAAGTTACATACCTCAAATTGGTGTGCAAGTTTCATGTGGTCACCATTTTTCCACTCGTTGTGGAGCCAGTCAGGAACCTGTAAACGGCCACCCTTTTTCACCTCACACAATCTTCTCAACTTCGCTTTCAGCGCGTTCTCTTCCTTGGCATATTGACCATGACAATGGCCACCAAGATAGGGCAATTCACAAGTTGGGTTTTTCCACATATGTATTTTTTTTAATGAAGTGTTGGGCCATCAAGAATATATGTTAATCCAAATGTTATGATGATATATTTGCCCAAGAAAAATGTGATAAATATTATATAATTGGGTCTAGTGTCATTCTTCACCTTCTTAGCTTGATCCAAAAGTTCCTCCACAAAAGGGGCATCAGGATCGGCTTCGCCAATCTTGGCTGCTTTATTACCTTCATCAGGACCTGAAGCATCATCCAAAGATCTTTTCCTGGAGTTTCCATCCTCACTTGTGGCAAGCGCCCCGCCAAGGAGCTGCATTGCAAGGGATGAATCGATCTCTCCATTCCGGTACATGTCCATGATGCGACTTGTGACCTTGGCAAATGCTTGGACTGAGGATTAGCAAGGGATATGCAAAACCCCAACCCAAGGACTACTATTATCTGTTACTGCTTACATTCAACCCTATATAACTGAATAATCTTGTTGGGAACAAAACTCCAGTAACATATATGTTAAATTGCTATAAGTCAACTGTATTGTCTTTGGGGTTGGTCAAGTTCGAACAGAATTGTCAGCTTCTCAGCATGCTGCTAGAAAATTACAGTTCTACTACCTGTGTACCAACGCACTGTTGGCATATACCAGTAAGAAGTCGATACCCAAAACACATATTTTTTTAGTATCGAAAAGCTGCATGAAACCATAACAAAATTTTAGTTATGACATAATTTACCATCAAAGGGCATCATCCTGACTCTTCGAAACTGAAGTAAGCTCTGACGTACTTGGGGAAGTTGGCGCCGGTGATCCTTTCGACCCAGACGGGACTGACAAAGCATCTTCCACCTGGGAATCCGTTGCTGGCACCGTCTCGGCATCGTAGAACTTTTTATTCTGGGGAGTAGCCTCAGGAAGCAATGGACAGAACAAGCAAACCCTCAAGCCACCCAATTCGCCTTTGAAACTAGAACTGTTGTAAATGATGGACACAAGGTCAAACTTAATAATCCTGGAATGCTCAGATGTTTCTATTCCATACCCGAAGTCAAGAGATAGAAGAACTCATGCCAAACAAATCAACATTGAATAGGCGTTGGCAGTCAAGTGCTCCCCTTATAGATTCTGAAGCTAGCATGTCTGACACCATAAATGAGCCCAGTCAGAGCCAACCAAAGCAGCCAAGAGACCACTGGTCGAGAATTGTCATTCAGCAACTCTTCCAAGGACTTTGCCTCAGAGGATCAAACTGGTCTCTTGAAAGAATGGGAACGAGAATGGATCGGTTTTGGAATATGCATGCAGTAGCAACAATCAAAATCATACTTCTTGGTTGTGTGCCGGGTTTCAAGCCACGCAGTTGGCAGGACTTTGTTGGGTCCAAAAAAATATTCAAAAACATGTTCCTGACACAAGATTATCCCAAATCACTGAAACAGGGCCCCAGCGGTACTGGTTTGAGCATCGAAATCAGCCAGTTGTCGTTCCAGCTCCTGAGGGATGTGGTGGTGTAGCCCCAAAAACATATATAAAAATGTAGGCCATTCGTTGCAAGAGTCATCAAAAATCAACCACTTGCAGGTTCATACCTTCCAAACTTTGAATTAACCCCCAATGCTCCTGTAACTCCTCGAGATTATCAGGAAGTTTGGCATCAGAATCCAGCAGAATATGGGATAAGCCACGGGAAAGATCTGTAGTGGAATGAGCACGGGAAACCATTGTCCGGGCTGTATCAGCACGGCACAACATACTCAGGGGCTTTTCAAAGGAACTCGCGATCCCAAAATGCTTTCACAAATAAACTTTATTTGGTTGTCGTGCATACAAATGATCACAAGACCGCTGCCACCAGCTTGAAGATGTATATCATGGATTTCATCGTGAGCAATCAATGAACCTGATAATTTGCGGCTCAACATTTTCTCCCCAAGACCAAATTGGATATAATTGGATGAATTGTGCCCTATGTAGAGCTGGCCTTCGAATTTGCGAAACGCTGGCTGACCACAACTATTGAAATTTGTTGCGAAGTGCCGGTCCCGAAAACGTAGCTGGAAATAATCTTAGTTTAATATAAATCCTTTAAATCTCAACAAAAAATTATCTTAAATTCATTGAAAAAAACATAGGTTTTATGCAAAAAAACCCATAATCAATTATGGGTATTTTACGGGATTTTATGGGTATTTTACGGGTTGATTACGGGTCTCCAAATTATGGGTATTTTACGGTTTAAAAAGATAGTTTTTTTTATGTTTGGTTACGGGTTCATTACGGAACGATTATGGGTTAAATAAAAATAGATGTTTTTTTTTTTAAGTAAGGTTAAATTAAGTTTCGCTACGGTTTTTTTACGGTTGGTTACGGTTGATTATGGGTTACGGGGTATTATGGGTTAAAAACTCTGAATTTGTATCTTGAAGGTGTTTTTGATGATGTTGAACTACATGAAATTGCTATTGCCTCTTTCGGGACCGATCGGCAACAAAGGAACCTTGACAGCGCAGCCTAGACTCCTTAGAGTTTTCGGGGAATGTAATCTCTAAACTCTTCGGGAATCTTCAAATCTTTCCCGGCACGGACATAGTGACACACCTGGCTCATATGGGCCTCATCCCACATATCATCAAAGCTCATCTGGCTAAAGGTTGAGCAGGCTGGTGGAAAGACCGCAGGGCTGATTGGCATGCCGGTCTTTGTAGAAATCAGACCGTCAAACATCTCCATCAATTTCTGTCCAAATTTGCTGGGATAGTGCCTTAGCCCGGAGCTGCGATTCTAGAAGACAGAGCTGCATGGCTCTAGCGATGACGTTTGAAATTGTTAAATCCGTTTGTGATATATTTTTTGTCCAACATAAAAGTATATAACTATAAGCTCGATTCCTGAATTAATTAGATTTCCCACTATATACGGTTCCCATGTGTTAACTGAAGAAATATATTGGTGATGGTTGGGATTGGTGAGCAAGACTGTGACCCCACCAAAAGCACAATGCAGAAAATATATCTTGACATGTGATTGGAACAAATAAGTCCCTCATTCACTCGAGCGTAAGGCCTTTGTGCCTTTCCACCTCTTCTTACCTTTGGAATCTATGTAGTACTCTACCAGTTTCTGATGGCGACAATCTTTTTCAAGCTCTTGTTTTTTCTTCAACCACTTCTTCATGCAGAATTTCCCAAGGTTGAGTTTGGAAATGTCAGGACTGTTTGACAGCGCGTAATGTTTTTTCGGAGTAGATCCTCCGTAGTGGATCATGTGCCAGCACATTTTGCTGACCTGAAGCGAGCAGGAATATCAAGACAATTGTTGGTTTCAAAATGGGTGAGCTGGAATCCATATTGTAGGAATTATTCAACAAATATGGTGGTAGTATAATAAGGACCAAACAGTGTTCAACTTCCACATGGGTTCTAGTATGAAACAACAATTCCAAATTATTTTTTAATACCTAATAAGGATAAGTATCAAATTATATCGAATGGAGAAAACCCAGCTGTTGATTCTTTAAGGATGTAACCAGATAAAGTCCTCCCGGGTCCGTGTGTCCCAAACAGCATGATTTCAAACTGCCTGGCTGCCTAGCTTAGGTTGCAGGGTGTACCATACCAACAATTTGCGTAACTTGGACTGACAAGATCTGGATATGGCAAATGGGATGGGTGAGGCTCCTGATCAAGGGACAGCACCATTACATTGCTGAATCATCATGACCAGTTCTCGAAATCTTGGGTAGAACTCAAAAAATGAAGAATGGGGTTGTTCCACCACCACGTATCCGTTAAGGCAAATCGCAACCATCATCAGAAGTATCATCCTAAGGACGGAACATTGCACACGCACACACACACACACCCACATAAAGAAAAAACAATTTTCCCCAAACACATGCTTTGCGGACCTATTGTTCCCATATCCACATGTGCATGCATGCAACAACATGCATAATACAGTTGAAGCTCCGGCTAGCCAAGCAGTTTCCTTCCCGAACACTACGAAATTCAGTGTTTCCAATGGAAGAGCATGCTGACCTTGATGAAGTACCAGAATTTACAGTGGTCCAAGAAGAACACTTTAAACCAAAGTGTGCAAGCCATCCCAACTCCTCATCACCGCGGAGCATCACAGACAGAGCGATCCTGAGTAAACAGGTGCAATATGCACTACGCAAGATCATACACGAAAAGAGCAAAACTAATCAAACACTGACTATAAAAACATATTTGTACAACAGCTCCAAACTTCTAAACTGAAGACATTACAACTATTAGTGAAACAGAGCAAGCAATATGAGGCTAGGTTCGCAAAACCAGCAGGCGTACACAAATCCATTGGATTCTGACCACCATCTCCCTGTCCATATAAAGAAGATCCATCTTGACAGATCGCATCTGGGAACAACGAAACATGCGAGTTATCTCTGCGCGACCTGCAAAGGTCTCCACAAATGAGAAACTCGAATGGTCCTGCAAATCAAGTGGCCATGGGATGGTTTGGGGAGGTTATGTAACCAGGCTTGGGATATAGAATTGGGATTGAATATAAAACATTATAAAACCTCAGTGATATGTTTTGAATTTGCTGAAACAAAGCTTCTCCTGCCAACTCTTCGATGGGATGTCCATCCAAATCACAAGGAGTACTGCGAACACCAATACCTAATCAGGTTGGACGAAAGCAAATGGGAAAATTACTTTTAATTTTTTTTTTACATCGATGAATCCATGCCTCAACACTGGCAGCGCATCGGTCCTTTTAACAACATGGAATGTATACGGAACTCAAAAAATGCAGGCTCCAGGAATTATTATGGTTGGTCTCCAAATTGAAACCTAAAAAAAATGCTGACATGATACTTTTGGCGCTCCAAAAGCTCGTAGACGCCATGTGAGCTTGTCCACAAAAGCAGCCGGCCACGTCATGGCAACCACACCAAGTTCTAAAGAAATTGCCAACAAAACACCCGACATATCTCATACATATATGATCATATATTGTTGGATGTAAATCTTGCTTTGTTTGGTATCCAGATGATATCAAAGTGGTTCTTGTTGCTCAAAACTTTTTGGGCTGAAATCTGATATGAGCATGTGTGATATCCAAGACACTGCTGTGAACCTGAGGCATCCTTCTATGTCTCTGGAGTGGGCTTGTTTCAAGTGACATTGCACCACGCCCGCATTGACTTGGGGATTAGAGGATCAGATATGGAATTGTGAAATTTACACGATTTCTTCAAGCATCAACCTATCATTGTTTGGGGAATGTGGATAACCCACAAACGTCAGAACCAGAGCTGTAGACCTAACATCAATGAATAAAAAGCAATCACATGACTTTTGTTTCCATTGCCTTGGGCTGCTTCCTGGCTGCTCCCTTCGGCTTTGCAGGGTCAGCTGCCGATGAAGCCGCAGGCTCTGCACCAGCTGCCTTTAATCTCTTCCATTGCGATGGCAAATCATCCTCGAAGATCTGGTCGAGAGGCTTGAGTTCCCCCATCTTCTTGACCAAGCGATCATATGTACTTTCCTCTGAAGACTCACCATCAGACTCCTGGAAGAGATTCTTCTTGGGAGTTACAACTGACATCTCACTTTCGGAATTTTCCTCAGCATCATCCTGTGGCTCCTCATCCTTCGGCACTGGCTTGGCCTTTGCCTTCCTTTTACTGGCCGCTTTGGCCTTTGCTTTTCCCACCTTTTCGACATTCTCAGCCTTGCTTTTGGCTCCTCGCTTTGCCGTGGCCTTGGCCTTGGCCTTGGCTTTGGCCTTGGCCTTCGGCTCTGGAACCATATCGGCATCCTCCGGTTCACAAACATGATCATCTTGTTTCTTCTCAGCCTTCCGAAGGCGCTTTGCTTGCTTCTTGAACTTCTCTGAATCAGCAGTGTCACCTTCAACATGATCATCATGATCCGTTGCTTCAGTCTTTCGTTTCCGTCCTGGCTTCTTTGTCTTCCCATCAGCCTCACCTTTCTTGTCCTGATGAAGCTCCTTTGCTTCCTTTGCTGCCTTCTTTGCTGCTTTGGCCTCCTTTTTCTCATCATCCTTTGCCTGCTTCAATCTCAGTTGGTCACGACGAGTGAGGATCTTTAACTGACAGGGAGGATGATTTTGGTTTGGGTGGCTATTGGGTAGTGTGCAAGTTGGTCATGAAGTTGCACAGCATTCTGCCCATTAGTTGATTAAATTGTCTGCCCATAGTGGCACGTACATTTGTTGACAATCCAGCTAAGGAAGTATTCTCTTTCAAGACCATTGCTTTGACCTGTTGAAATCAGATATAGATTCGAAAAGGAATGGGCATGATTCTTGGCTCGGAAAAATACAAGCAAACAAGATATGGATAACCACCACACCTGGGGCTCTGGGTCGGCCAGTGCGGCAGCTTCATCCGCCTGCTCATCAGTTAAAGGTATTGCCATGTCAAAGTCTGGAATGTCAGTGGTGTCCATGGGCTGGGTCTCGTCAAAGTCGCTTGCAAACGAGAAACCTGCACAAGGGACAGTCAAGCAGAGGTAGCCACTCTTATCACAAGCACTGGTAGTAAGGAAAAACAATTGGAAATGAATTGATCATATAATGTTGTGAAAATAAAAGCCTGTTATAACATCTTTTATGTCTATGTGTTTTTTAGATAGTGATGACACCACGGGGCATAGGTTCCTTGAACTGCAAACCCATAACCATTGAATCATTGTAAAAACATGGGAAATTCTTTTGTGGCAGCAGGCTCTCTGAAGTTTAAGTAAAAATATGATTGACCGTAACATGGTAATATCAAAAAATCCCCCAACACCATTGCCTTTCTTTGCCTTGCTCTTCGGTTTCGGGGATGCTTTTGGTGCTGGCTCTGAAGATGTAGTGTCACCGGGAGATGGAAGGATCCTTACCATGGCATGCCGGTTTGTCACAAAATTCCCAGGGGTTTTGTCATCAACATTTTTTGATACATACTAAAAGTTTGGTCAATATGGTTTCTAAGTCTCTGGTTCCTAACATTGATGTGAATTGGTATGAGGGATTAGGTGCCACTACATACCCCAAACATCCAAGAAGTAAGACATCACAACCCCACGTGCCAACCCCAGCTTGGCTGCATGAAACTAAGAAGAGCGGCGCTGCAGCATGCTCCTGGGCAGCCTTGGACTTCGCCTCCAGCTCCGCCTTCTTCTTGGCGATGAGTTCGATGAGCTGCCGCTTCTTGATGGCAAGGTCGGAACCTAGGCAAAAAGGGAAAGCAGGCAGACAGGGAGAATGATGGGGAATTACAAAGTGGTGGTCAAGTGAACCCTTAAAAACGAGACATAGTAAACAATCCTGAATACCATGTTGAAATGTATCGGCAGGGTGCCCAACCACACTCTTCGCATCGGGGGGGATCAGAAGGCTTGGGAATGGGCTGCCTGTCCATCTCATTCTTAGCCAACCACTCTTGGAATGCGGCAAATTCAGCTTTGGATTGTTCATCATCACCTAGTTCCTCATCTTCATCACCGTCAAAAGCATCACTTGATGTTGAACTAGACCTTTTGCAAGATGCCAAGTACTTGTCGATGTGTTCCTAGAGGGGTTCTTGGTCATAAGGTTCCAATTCAAAGAACATAATGAAAATTAAACGTATAATCAAAAAATATCAAAATTATATATCCTTTGGTTTCCAAACAGGTTATACCATAGGTCCCATGAGATTGCTATCACATATAGATCTTAAAGTATAGGATTGAATAATAACAGAACCATCTGGTGGTGGATCATCCTGTTCTGAATCTCCGGGTCAAAGAGCAAGAGAAGGTCATGGAAGCAAGGGTCCTGACAGGGAATGATAAAGTAAATTATATGTTAATACTAAACAGGGAAATTTCCATCCTAAAAACAGGATTGAATTTTTGTTACCAAATATGATGCCATGTATGTAAGAAATATTAATTGTAACTTAAAACATCGATATTTAAAATATGTTGTTTTTGGGGAACCAACCTTCCCAACCGCCAATATTTCTCATTCTGAACTCCCCTCCTTAGTGACCTCATGCCTGTTCGCCTTACGCTTCACCAGCCCTGCTAACTGCTTAAGCTCCATGCTGTGCTTATACATACTTTTGTCACCCAAAGAAGTAATGCCACATTTTTCCACAAGTGCACCAACTTCTAGCTGCAGCGCATCCATATGTGGCAATCGCTTTTTTGGGTGCTTCCCCAGTCGGGACAAGACAGGGCCCAAAACATCAGCATTGGAAACACAGTTCTTGCGATTGGCCTTGCAATAAGGCTCATCTAAACCATGAACCAGCAGCTTCCTTTCAGACCGCAGGCGATCACGAATAACAGGATTGCTTTCCCATTCTTTGGCCAACCCTAAACAATTCATTGTTTGGGATGGCCCATCAAAACAAAGCTTGAAGCCAAAATATTCTGTAGATGTGTGGTCGATTTAACGGGCAACATGTTGTTTCAAACAAAGCGCACACTACCAAGCTGGATGAACCAAGGACACCTATATGGCAGCACCAGCGCACGGCACCATACCACCCAGCTGGAAAAAATTGGGGGGCCCGGCGGTGCGATCTGTTGAAGATCATCGGAATCACATGGGCAAGAGCACGGTCGAGGCTATAGTGAAATCACAAAGTTTCAGCACAACTATGCGGAGATGTTAATAAACAATGTGTTCCTCCACCACTGATTTGGGAAACATGAGTTACATAAGAAATTCGAAGAGATTTGATACTAAAATGTACGGGTAATACAGGGTGATCCAACTATGCATTTATTTGATGATATTTTCTGCTATAGGTCGATATCACTGTTACTGATCTCCAAAATTGATCGACTGTTTGGTTGTATGATCACTGGATACTGGAATTATTTCCTTATATTGACACTTGGGCCACTCAACCACAGGTCCCGCTCCATCATGAGAAGATTTCGACACTGTCACATCTGAGCTAACACATGTATAAATCATCATATATTACCTTATAATATGCTATATATAAGGTATATGAAAAATATATAGGTTTTTTATAAAATACATAGGTATTATTATGTTGATCAGAAAATAGATAGGTTTTACGGTTTCATTTTCAAAAAAAATAGGTATAAACCTACATAGGTATATATAAATATATTTAAATATCAAATCGTAAGGGGATTTCATCTGAACCTTCCTCAGGGTCTAACAATAGGATCCCTACAAATCAAAATCTATACAAGGTCCAAACCACCCTTTGCTAATTAA